TAATAATAAAAAGACATTTTAAAATCGTAATAATAAAATGAATTAAGGCTAGCAGGTATAGGAGGTGAGTGGGATTGCTGTTGGCCCTGAGTTCCTTAGCCAGAGGAGGACAGCAGACCGTGTGGAGTTTGCTTTGCTCTTCTCTCCATGGAAATGCTTTGGGGCCATTTTATACAGTCCCAATTGCTTCTATTTTTTAATTGGGGTAAAATACATATCATATTAAACTGACCATTCTGACTGTCTTTGGGTTACATATATTATACACATCTCTAGTGTCCTGTGTTTATCACCGGTATCCATGTCCAGGACTTTTTTTCTTTTTTTGGGACAGGGTCTTGCCCTGTCGCCCAGGCTAGCGTGCATTGGGTGCCATCATTGCTCACCGAATCACTGCAGCCTGAACTTCCTGGGCTCAAGTGACCCTCTCACCTCAGCCTCCTGAGGAGCTGGAACTACACGTGGAGTTACCTGTAGTTACCAAAATGGTTTTTAAAGCTTTTGTAGAGATGAGGTCCCTCTATGTGGCCCAAGCTGGTCTTAGAACTCCTCGGTTCAAGCAGTCCTCCTGCCTCAGCTTCCTCAAGTGCTGGGATTATAGGTATGAGCCACCACACACAGCCTAGAAATTTTTTGATAGTCTCAAATCTAATTTGGAAAGGAGAGCTTTATTTCTCATAAAGGTTTGCAGCCTGCAGGGTGGCCATTTCTGACAGGCTGGGAAGCATAGCCTCAGGCCAAAAGCCAGAAACAAGCACTGGGAGGGAGGAAGACTAAGACACGAATGGATGCTGAACACGTGAGTCAAGTATAGATATTCAGCAGGTTATAGGAGCAGCTATGCATATTCATGAAGGGATGGCATGCACACGCGTGGTAGGCAACATGTATGCAGCATGTGTCCCCACATTCATTTTGGGTTGGAGACGTAACATTTAAATATATTACAGTTAGGCCCTGTATGTCGAAAGGTGAAGCAGAGGGCATGAAGGCCCTCTGTGTGCAGCCTCCGTAGACGGCCAGGACCACCTGGGAGTTGTGGTCTCTTATCAGGAGGGAATGCTGATCGATATTGTGTTGTCAGAACTGCAGAAAAGGAGGGACATTGTCAGGCGGTGGATTGATACCAGCAGCAGAGTCTTTGAAAAGGGCCGGCTTCTGTTTGGCACTCAGGGAAGAGAGCCTAGCGATTAATGAGGAGAGGGGTGTAATGAGGTATGTCTCACCTCCCACCCGTTATGGACAGGAATGCAGTTTTTAAAGTTTCTCTGGGGTCCCCTTGGCCAAGAGTGGGGTGTGTTCAGTCAGTTGTGGGGCTTAGGATTTTATTTTTATTTCTTATTACCTGTAGTTTTAGGTTTATAGCAGGGTCTTGTGTTTTTGAGAAATTATCAAATGGTTAGGAGAGTGGAGAGACCGGAAGCCATGTTCATTATCAACTAAATTATTAACAGTCCGTTGTTAAGGGTGTGTGGCAGCTTCCTCAAGCCCCACTGAAACGAGCCAGCAGGATGCGTTCCGCCCTGCAGTGGCCCAGTGGGTGCCGCCTCACTCGCCTGCCTGGTCCGCTTTGTCGCTGGCTAACGCTCTTTTTCCTGAGCGACACTTCTTTAGAGTTGGAGATCTCTGTGATCAGGGAATGAATGACGGGCAGGCTGAGCTTGGCCCATGCTCTCTGCAAGAGGTGTTCTGTCCGGGTTGTACACACTGTCCTTAGGTTCACCTGAGCTTGGGCCGCCCACTTCTTCTTTCAATCTCAGGAGGGGTCCAGGTTCCGTGTTGCACAGGGAGATGCCCAGGTTGCCCAGTTCAGCCTGGTGGTCTCTGTCTTGGGCATGTCTGTGCATTCCCTACCTGTGGACCGCCCCCTCCCTCTCTGGTTTCTGGTTGCCGTTGAGACACTCGGTAGTTCCGGAAGATTGTTGAATCCTTGGTTTTCCAGCTTTTCTATGATACCTTGTTTAGTTTACAGAGTAACTTCACATTGTTGTCGTGTCTGTCAGCACTCACATGGGGCGTGCTGCACAGCAGCGGCACGGGAAATACACTCACTGAGGGATTCAGGGCCACTCTCCATTTGCAGTCACAGAACTTTCACAGGCTAAAGCTCAGTCCCTTTCACAAGCACATTGTGAAGTGGAAGGAGCAGGTGTGTTTTTGTTCTGCTGTTAGTGTTGCTGAGGCCTGCAGTGGGTGGGGGCTTTCCAGGGCAGAGAGCACTTGATGGGCAAGCCACTCAGTGTCAGTGGCTGTTGTTCCTGAACCCGTGGCCCTGGGCAAGTGTCTTAACTTCGTTGTGCCTCGGTTTTCTCATTTGTAGGCTGTGTGTGTGGGTCATTGTGAGGTGCAGTTGAGAAATGCCAACAAAACTCAGTGCAGTCCTGGTGTGTGATAAACACTCCCTGATTGGCAGCTCTACCGTGGCCCGTGTGGTGGTGGTGCTGTCACCAACCCAGTAGCTCTCTGGGGTAGCTTTTCATGGACACATACGCACCAAAGGGCACACAGATGATAACGTGACTCAGCTGGATGAGTGTCCACAAACTATACATCAAGAAAGGACATGCTGCCCGCTAGGAGCCGTCCTGTGCCTTCCTGACCTCTGACAGCACAGACCAGTGTTGCCTAATCCTGAGCTGATGTCAGTGAACCCTGTGTACTATTGCCTTTGTATATGGCTTCTTGCATTCAACTTTTTGTGTAAGGTGCTTCTCAGAACCTTGGACTCAGACCTAGGTTTGGATCCAAATTCTACCATTTACTGCTGGCGTGATTTCTATATTTCTGAATATCCAAGCGTAAGAGATTATTTTGCCTTCATAGGGAGAATGAGAACATTAAATTCTAATCAGGTAATGCACATTAAGTGTCAAGCTGTATTGGCTGACTCATAATAAACATCCAGAAGATTTTGGCTATTTTTATGTCTCAGGCTAGTATTCTTATGGTTAGATCAAGTTCCATGTCACTGTATTAACTTTTACCCTGGATTTGCCTTTTCAGAACAGCCACCCCATCTTTTCTCTCAACTGGGAGTGTGTGGTCACTTTCCTGTGGAACACAGAGGCTGCCTGTCCCATCCAGACAGCAACGGATACAGACCAGGTACGTGTGCTTTTGCCTGGCCCTCGTGTTAAGCTGCCTGATAGACATCGTCAACTCACCCCAGTGTTCCAGCTCTGAACTGACCCCTGCCCCTTCTTTCTGAATCAGTTACTGCGTTGCATTGACAGTGGGTGTCTGCAGGTCACCCTGAGTTCCTCTCCACCCCCAGCTCCCAGCTCCTAGCTCCTGGGATAAGAACCAGGTCCCTCAGTCTTACTCCGCCCACTCTGCCCACTTACTCCGCCCACTGTAGTTTCCTTCCTTTTGTTTCCATTCCTTTGTTTCTCCCATGTGGCAGTGGCATCTTGGTGGGCTCTGGGGCTTCTGCACCACTGGCAGATGTCTGACTATTCGATACGTCACTCCACACCTAAATCATCTCAGCACCTGTCCCCTAGAGGGTAGAGCCCATATGTTTTCATGTGACCCTATCCATAGAGCACAGCCTGCAGGTGTTAATGGGATCCTGTCTATAAGGCCTGTGTGTCTCGTCTGTGCATAGGCCAGAGCCCACAGGTTACTGTGGTCTTGTCTATAGGGTGAGGCCTGTGTGTCTCACCGTGGCCCTGTGTGTAGGCCAGAGGCCACAGGTGTTACTGTGCCACTCGAGGCTCTCAGTGCCTACTGTGTCCTCTGGCTCTTCCCGCCCTCTGCCCGGGTCCATGCTCTCCCCTTGTTGAGTGCACCCTGCAGGGCATAGCAGTAAGCTGCTCAGTGACGTTCTCTCTGACCTCCCCAGGGTAGTGAGTTGTTTTCACAGCACCGTGTATATTTCTTTATGGTGGGACCTGTTTGCCACTTCCTGTTCTAAGCTACACCACAGACTCTGGCAGCAGAGACCAGGGCTTTTCCGAACCAACAACCCCAGCACAGGGCCCTGGCTTTGTAAGCGCTCAGTGAGGGCAGGATGTCGGGCGCCCTGTTCATGGACAGTGTTTCTCGGTCTGTGGCCACCGCCCCCTTCCCTGCATGCAGTGGACAGAGGGAGGCCCAGGGCAAAGTTAAATACAGAGAGGAGAGGATATCATTTGACAGTCACCTGACCATACGTCCCATGATTACCTTAAGGGAGTAATTGAGACAGAAAACAGAACATGAGTTTTCTTAAGATGTTTATTTTCTTTTTTTTTTTTTTTTGAGACGGAGTCTTGCTCTGTCGCCCAGGCTGGAGTGCAGTGGCCGGATCTCAGCTCACTGCAAGCTCTGCCTCCCGGGTTTACGCCATTCTCCTGCCTCAGCCTCCTGAGTAGCTGGGACTACAGGCGCCCGCCACCTCGCCCGGCTAGTTTTTTGTATTTTTTAGTAGAGACGGGGTTTCACCGGGTTAGCCAGGATGGTCTCGATCTCCTGACCTCGTGATCCGCCCGTCTCAGCCTCCCAAAGTGCTGGGATTACATGCAAGAGCCACCGCACCCGGCCAGATGTTTATTTTCTTTAAGAAACTAATTTATGGGCTGGGCGCGGTGGCTCACGCCTGTAATCCCAGCACTTTGGGAGGCCGAGGTGGGCAGGTCATGAGGTCAGGAGATGGAGACCATCCTGGCTAACATGGTGAAACCTTGTGTCTACTAAAAATACAAAAAATTAGCCGGGCCTGGTGGCGGGTGCCTGTAGTCCCAGCTACTCAGGAGGCTGAGGCAGGAGAATAGCGTGAACCTGGGAGGCAGAGCTTGCAGTGAGCCGAGGTCGCGCCACTGCACTCCAGCCTGGGCGACAGAGCGAGACTCCATCTCCCAAAAAAAAAGAAAAAAGAAAAAAAGAAACTAATTTATGAGTCTTATGTTTCCTCTCCAACTTTAGGGAATAACAGTAGTCTTCTTAGAGAAATACGGTAGCCTTAACAGCTTCCAGGTGAGTGTCATCTCTGAGTCTGGGCTCACACTTAGTATACTTTGGTGTATTTGAAGAGGCTCCATGTAGGGCTACATTTTTGATAGGGATTTTGAAAGTAAATGGAGAAACAGCTTTGTCAGGTGCGTACTTGCAGGTTTCTGGAGGTGCTGTATGTTTGTTTTGTTCCTGTGGAATTGGTTTAAATGCGCCCCTTTTCCCCCATTTTGTTTCCTGTAGGCTTGCTCTATAAAGGATCCCAACAGTGGATTTGTGTTTAATCTTAACCCGCTAAACAGTTCGCAAGGATATGTGTTCTTCAACATTGGGAAGACTTTTGTGGTAAGAGCTATACCATGCATTTCCAGTTTGCTTTGAAACAAGGGCAGAGTGCATAATTGAAGTCACCTGCACCTGGTGATTCAGGAGACAGAATTGCCCAGGCCACTGTGGTGGCAGGTCTTACTCAGAAGGAGATGGGAAAATCCGGATTTAAGGGAAAGATGAAGTAAAACCATTTACCACCATTCTGGCACAGTTCAGACGTGAAGACTGTTATTCTTCAAATCATAAGTTGTTCTCTTTAAAGAAATACTTCTATCTGTAGTGCTGACGGTCTCTCCTTACTGTATCTGCACACCAGAGAGCGTTATTGACTTCATTTTTACAACTATAATATAATTTTTAATGGAATGATATCAAAATTTTTAAGAAATGTAGGGTACCACTTTACTTCTAATTAACATGATTTCAACAATATGTACTTTCTCATAATTGAAAATACTGTAACATTATGACTTCTATGTCTTCCCTCTCTTATATATGGTACATTATTACATGCACCAGATCTTATGCATTTATAGATACAGGGATGTATAAGTTTAAATGATGTATATATACTAAACCTTAGAGGCAGGTTATAGATACTGCCCTTTGGACTTAGGTACTAACTGTACTAACGTGCTGGAAAGTGGAAAGTTGGTAAGTTGACTAACAGATAAGAAACGTTTAACCTAGTGGGATTTGGAGTTGCTAGGGTTCTTGTCTATGGAGATACGTGGCATCAATTTGTTTGTATGGCTCTTACCGTTTGATCTGCAGTTTAATATCTGCGGCACAATGCCTGTCTGTGGGACCATCCAGGGAAAACCTGCTTCTGGCTGTGAGGCAGAAACCCAAACTGAAGATCTCCAGAATCTGAAGCCAGAAAGGGCAGTGGGAATTGAGAAAAGCCTCCAGCTGTCTACAGAGGGCTTCATCACTCTGACCTACAAAGGGCCTGTCTCTGCCAAAGGTGAGCTCAGAGCCGTGTTGTTTTGTAGCTACAAAGGGCCCTGGTGGCTCTGTGGCTGGCCATGCAGCTTCCTGAGTGTAGGATGTGCACGCTCCCCTGTCGCCACGGGCTGTGCTGTCCACCTTGCTGCAGGAGCCACCACGTTGGTCTTCCAGCGTTTGACCTCGCATACAGGAGTCCCATTATCCGCGGGTTCACTTTCTGTGATCTCACATGGTCCGAAAACAGTACGGTATTTTGAGAGAAAGAATGAGAGAGACCACATTCACGTAACTTTCATTACAAGTATTGTTACAGTTGTTCTGTTTTATTGTTAATCTCTTGCTGTGCCTAACTTACACATTGAACTTCATCCTCGGTATGTGTGTATAGGAAACAGCATAGTATATATAGGGTTCTCAATTTCAGGCATTCACTGGGGGTCTCGGAACATATCCCCCCACAGATAAGGGGGGCTGCTGTAGCCCGTATTCAACACAGCGGTCAGAGTGATGTTTCTGAAATGTCTCATCATATCACTTCCCAGCTCAGAACCCTCGGAGGCCCTGCACTGCACCTAGAGTAGAAGCCAGCGTCCATAGTACGGCCATGGGACACCCATGGGGGCTCTCTGAGATGATCACCCCCTGCTCTTCCCGCTCAACCTGCTGGCCTCACTGTTTCTGATATGAACGAAGTGCAGTCTCCCCCACCCTCCCCTCCTGAGTCTTTGTACTTGCTGCTCGCTCTGCAACCAGCACAGCTGCGGGCAGGGGTTTTCGTCTCCTTCATTCGTTCCTATACGTGGTGGGAACTTAGTATTTGTTCAGTAAGCCAACAGATTAGAGTTACATTGTCTTCTGTTGCTTGGATTGATAAACTCGTGGGATTTAAATATTTTCTAGAAGAGTAGGAATGCTAGGATGTTAGGCTCATGGTAGAAATCTGTCATAACGTAGGCCACCGTTGCAATGTGTGAACCTGTCATCACATAGGCCACTGTTGCAGTGAGTGTGTAAAGCTAGCGTAACATAGGCCACCATTGCAGCGAGTGTGTAAACCTGTCCTAACATAGGCCACCGTTGCAGTGTGTAAACCTGTCCTAACATAGGCCACTGTTGCAGTCAGTGTTTAAGCCTGTCGTAATATAGGCCACCGTTGCAGCGAGTGTGGCCACTCTGTTCATGTCGAGTCCCTCGATACAGACTTGCTGTCCTGGTGTCATTGTTCCCACGAACGGCTGTGAAGCTTGTTGTCAGTGGTGGCCTTGTCCTGTTGCTGCACTGTGCTTGTGGGCTGCGTCATGAATACTGTTCTGTTTCTTAAAACCTGGGCCTTCTTGCTTTACAGGTTCTGCTGATGCTT